TTACATTTTGGGTTACACATAAAGGCCCAATTACCAATTGTTTTGTTGCATGATGGCAAAACACTACACGCTATTTTATGAGTTGTGCCGGCTCGTGAAAAAAAAAAGGTCCAATTCAGTCAATAATGATTATCTCTAATAATTTTTACTTATAAGGCGCCTTTCAAAACAGTTACAAAGTGCTTTACATGTCAATAATTAGACATGAAAACAATAACTTTTAAAGGAACTCATAAAAAGGCTTTGGTGTATAAAAACTGAGGAAATAAAAGACAACTAAAACTTAGGTAAAACCAGGAAATGATCTCCAATGAAGGTATGTTTTAAGAAGGGACTTTACAGAGATCACTGACATGGCTGACCTGATTTCCTCAGTCAGATTGTTCCAGAGCCTCAGGGCCCTGACAGCAACTGCTCTGTCCTCTTTAGTTTTCAGCCGGACCTCTGGAACATACAAAAGACCTCTGCCCAAGGACCTCAAAGAACATCATGGCGTGTACAGAGGTTGGAGATATAGAGATATAGCTGGGAGAGAGACCATGAAGATCCTTAAAAGTAATCAGTAAAGTCTTAAAATATATTCTATAACATACTGAAGCCAGTGTAAAAATGCTACAACTGGAGTCATGTGGTCTCGTCTCTTGAGTCTGGTTAAAAGCCCGGCAGCTGAATTCTGTACAGTCTGGAGTTGATTCAAAGATTTCTGAATCAGGCAAGAAAAGAGGCCATTGCAGTCATGACCTGGTCATCTTTCAGCATTCATGTGATTCTCTTCTTTCAATACAGCCAGTATAAAACCACACCGGTGATGTCAAAATCCAAATATAGCTGCAACATTAAACCATAAACAGACCTTGACCCAGTATCCCAGTGTCATGTACTGTACTGTATAGACCACAGTGGCACCACATGTCTGAGACTGGCATCTGTAATTATACAGACATAGAAAGAGAGATCAGCATGTAACTGATGCTCCCACCAGGCCACATTAGACTGTAGACAACTTGAGCGCAGGCCAGTGGCAACATGGCAAGAAATCCTCTGGGACCAATAGTGTCACAATTAATGAGGTATGCATATCATCGATAGGGTGGTGTTGGACCAGGTGGGAGTACTAATACCATCGGGGCACATGTAGATGTATTTTAAACCAGCCTCTGAATGCAAGCTGTGACACAAGTGTTATAAATGTCATAAGTGTGACACAAATTCTGGCAGAGGTGATTTTGATCTGTTAATGCCTTCAGTAAATTATACATTTCACACTTTATTTCTTTCACGTTCAGATGTGGATGAGGTGCGAATCACAGGGGAGTTTGGCTCCTCTTAATCAGACTCTAGCTCCGCTGAGAACGTAACTTGTGAAATTTGGGGCGGGGTCTTGAAAACACTGACAATATGCAGTTTTTACCATGCATTTTTTTTCTGTATTTAATCATCATGTAACATCATGAATCATGCATGAGTCAGGATATGACAGTGGATCTAGGCAGGCTCCCTGTGGTGCTCCCCCTCCTCAAACTCTTCTTCTTCTTGTTATTATTATTACCACAGCTAATGAGAAATCAACAGATACACAACTAACAAACCATTATAATTAATATCAAACAATAAAAGAATGTATAAAAGAAAGGTTTTTGTACTGCCTTTTCATTTTGTCTCACCCTAACACTCTATGCAATCCCCACCATCTCCCAGATGCCGAACTTTACTGAATGTCAAATTTTCTTTTCAAGGAGGGGAGGGGGGGATTTTGGCAGCTTGAAATATGGGACACTCTCTCCCTCCTGACCTATATGTCATGCTATATGTGTCACTTAAAAACCATACACCACACTGCCCATGACACATGTGTAGAGTCGCTCACATGTTTGTGCCCGTCAGTATAGCTTCAACTGTCACACTTACCGACTGTAAATTCTCGCTTATACTCATCACAGCAACCACTGCATAAATCATACTTAGATCACAGCTGTGCTCCAGCAGTTATATATACGCACACAGTGATGTAACTATATCTTTGTTTATTTAAACCATGAGTGAAACTAATATTTGTTTATATGTCCTTTAAAAATTTATGAAGTGTTTTTAAAACTGTTTGTGAGGTGTGACGACCTTTATCTACTGTGTAAAAATATTCATCCAGTACGCCATTGGGAATTTGTACCCAGTGGAATATGAGATTGGGCCTAAAATACTTTCCATACATGGCCAATATGGCGATACATGGTAGAAATTCCATATTAGGAATAACCCATTGAGATGTGCCATCTGGTTTTTAAGGGAATCCCTAACAACAATAATACAATATAAGCACAATAAGACAAATATGATGAAAAAGATCATTTTTTCATCAATCATAGAAAAAGTAGTAATGTTGATGCTATGTATATTGATTAAAAAAAATCAGTATTTTTGTAATGTATTATAACATTTCAGATTATTTTGATCCTTAAAAATCCTGTCTTGATTTCCACCTATTCAAATGTTCATATTCTTTGTTTAGTTTTACTGAAATTTTTTGTGGTATTACCCCAAAATTATTCATATGCATTTTTTTTATTTAAAGTTAAGGATCTTTCCTCGGGATCAGGTAAGGTAACACTTTACAACAAGGTACATAAAAAACAAGTAGTTCCCTCGGTCAATGTCAGTTAATTAGTTATTAACTAGGATTAGCTACTTTATCACATTTGATTGGGAGTTCCTCAAGAACATATGAAAACCATGGACAATCAATCATCACCTGTGTGCCATATTTGTATCTGTATATACTAACTGCAAAAAATCTACACTTAATATGTTTAATAATGTAAATTCTGCCACCCAGCCTGTCCTTTTATTATTATATCTTCCTTTTATTTTTTACTGCTTACAATAAATCATTAACTAACCGTTAGTTCCTCATTCATTCCTCATTAGTTACCTTACCAAATAATAATTAACTAATTATTAACTAATGATTAGCAACTGTATGACATTTGATTGGGAGTTACTCAAGAACTGACCATTAACTAACCGTTTGTAATTCATTTGTTCCTCATTAGTTCCTTAGTAACGACTTGTTTTTTGTGTACCTTATTATAATTTGTTACCTCATGTAATTTTGTAGAGGGACAAATCCCAACTATGATTTACATCACCACTTACACACACTGTTACATTTTGATGACAGTATGTGAAAAAGCATCTACTATTATAATCAGTGTACTTTATATCGTAGCTTAATAGTTGCTGGCTAACATTACTGCAGCTGGGGATGAACTTTTGCTACAGTTAAATGCTTTTGGAGCCAAGTAGCATTATCTGCCATCTATGGGCATGACTGACTAATATACAGGTTTGATGAGAAATGAGGAAACTTTAAATAAAGCTGGTGTAGAATTTAAATAATTACTTTGAGCAAAATTAAAAGTGTGCCATATATTTGTTATTAAACTTACAATAACTGGTTCTGGAGTCCCAAAAATGAGAACAGGCTGAAATATCTGGCTCTCTGGTTGCTAAATGCTCCACTATGTTGACATTTTCTTTGTTTGTCTGCTGTTTGGTGCAGAGCAGGTAGCGTACAGTGGGATTTTGGGGTTTTTAGCTGAGAACAGCCGCCTGCTGTGGCAGTGAGAGTGAATCAAAAGAGTGAAGTTGTGGCCCGACAGCCAATCAATGAACTTAAATTCACTATAAAGCTCTATAAAGCTGAGGGGAGTTGCTGATTCTAGTGATAATTATCTACTCATCACTATGAGTGACCCCTTTCACATCATCACATTGTTTCACTCATTTGATAATTATAACCACAAACCTATTAATTCTAATTCAGATCATTGTTGACCCACTTCTGGAAGAGTGCTGGCTCTACTACCCTTTGCATAAGGGTTCATATGTCTATATATGTTTAATATCGTATCCCAAGTTATCTCAGCCACACATGACCTTCATTGTACAGTATTTAAGAGAAATGACAGCAGTTAAAGGGAATGACACTCATTTCTTCTTCTTGCCGCCTCTTATACTTATATGAGGTTGCGTGATGCTCTGGTCCTTCGGGAGTGTGAAAGTTCTTTGTATGACCATGTGCCCCACTTTTAGTTCACGTGAAGCTTTAGGTGTGAAGGCGTCAGGAGTTGAGGCCCATCTGTCACCGTAGGAAAGCGATCTTCAGGCTGGAGCCTCTCACATATCAAAGTGAGCCCCTTGCTCCTTCTCCTCTACTCAGCTGAAATCCAGAGGGGATCAATGCAGCGAGCACTTTGCACTGTGTGTGCAACCTTATCTGAGCAACACATAGAATCTTTTACCCATCAGGGAGCGATTACAGATGGAGAAATAAGAGCCATAAATGAGGTCAAGTGCCTTTTTTTCCATTTTGGATAGTTATCTGATGATGTAGGACAACCAGGTGCTGGAAACATCAATAAGTCCAAGCTGGCAGAAAATATTCTTCACACTTAGGTGCTTTCTGACTGAATATGTGCTTTTTCCGTATTCCCTGTCTTTCACCCCCATTTCTTGTATTTCAGTACTGTTTACCAAGTATGGCTTTCATTTGTTTGCCTCACAGTACACTCATTTAGTATTCAAACGATAGATAGATAGCCAATAGGCAGGTAGGACCAATAAGTTATATAAATAGTAAAAGAGAGCACATCTTACAAAAACAGTTGTGTTCCCTTATACAGTCATTCTGTGTTCATTGCCTGTATGGCATAGGGGATAAAGGACATCTTATATATGTTCCAACTAGTTCTTGGAACCCTAATTTGACGCCCAGGTGGGAGCAGCTCAAACTCAGAGTGTAATGGGCATGAGGGATTGGCAATTACTTTTACCTGCTTGTCCATTATTGATTCATGTATGCTCTAATGAAGGTCTGATAGACCTTAAATGTGTGAAAATCTACGCACTGGTTATCTGTAGACAATGCGTATATCAAAGTTTAAGTTTTGACAAAATCAAACCTTTACAGTCATGAGTTGGAAAAATGACAAAGAAAATGGGAATTTTGATTAAAAAGTATATTCTTTATTTCAGATTTTTTAATGTCACAAGACACTCAACATTCATGAATATCATAATCAGTCAATAAATATGCAATCTGATGCTATACAGTAGAGCCACACATACAAGATACAAGAAAGGAGCATCAGACAAAAAAATGTACACAAGAATCAGACAAAGAAGTACACAAAAATAAAAATATTCTTAAAGTTAGATTACCCGTGATAAAATTCTATTTAAGGTATTGTATAAGAATTACAGGAATTTGTGCCCCAGCAAACACTCAAGTGTCAAAACCTGACTAAAGCATCATTTGATCAAGCTTCAGTGATTCATTCTGGTCTCTTCAGTATTGTGCATGAGGATTCAATTCCCATCCAGAAACCTGCGAGAATCTTTTTCTCAATAGTGGTCTTAACTTTTTGCAACAGCTTAACCTCCCTCTCTGCCCCCTCACCGCTCACAGCATAAAAGCTCATAATCCCTGCAGGCTGGTCGATGTAAACTCCAATTGTGGAGCAGTACGGGACATCGTTTATGTCTTTGTTTACGCAGTTGAACCAGATCTGGTAACACGTTCCTGACCAGCACAGACCCCAGGACTCCTCGTTTTCTCCAAGGCCACTCGGCCCACAGTTTGCCCTCCTTCCTGCTCCTTCATAGGTGGCTCCAATTACCACCCACCCCGAGTACTCGACCTCCCAGTAAGCCCTCGTGTTCCAAATACCCTCTTTGCACACCACCTTTGAAGAAACGAAAAAAGAAATAAATATAAACATTTGTCCCTTTATCTGACAGCCTGTATTTGTATTTATAATACCTGATGACTCACCTGTGGGGAGTACTCATATCTCTCTGGTCTATCCAGGACAGGACAAACCTCCTGAGTTCTACGACACACCTTCGACCCGTTGTCAGAAATCCACAACATCTTGTTGGCAGTCTTGTCATCCAAAGTCAAATGGATCCAGTCTACGGGAGAAAATTAAGCAATAGCAGCTTTTAAATCCTGAAAAATATTGCTGAACATAAATGATGTCGGGGGGGAAAGGAATTTGTTCATACACTTCATGAGCTCAGCTCTGCTTGTTGGCTCTGGGATGTTCGGCACATAGATGGACACTTTTTCTGTAAGGAAAGGAACCTGGATTAATACAAACTAATGCTCACCTCAAGAAGAGTTTAAACAAATACATCAAGACCATTACCTGTATTTGTCTTCTCCTTCTTGATGGATTTAATTTTCTTCCCTAAAAAGGTGTAGAGCAAAGGTTAAACTAGATGCATACATTTCTAATATTGTAAATGTATGGAGAGTTTGACGAATTGTCATTGAACAGTTGGGGTCTTATTGTGAAAAGGTAGCATCGTCATTTCCCACTAATTGGGTTAAGGTATAATGATCCCCACTTCTACTTGAGTTTTTTATTCCAAGATATCATACTGCACATCTATGGAAAACAATCAAAAAAACACTCTATTAAAAGGTACAGCATGGACTGTAGGTAAAGCTCTTACATGACCCAAAACTCAAATTTTCGTGTGGGTGTTTTGACACGTCTCATTTGGTGTGACACCTGCCTCCTGCTTATTCCGTATAATGAGGGATTTATGGCATCTATGTAAGCACACTCACAAAATCCATAATACAGTGTTTGACAAGGCAGCTACCGCAACCCAGGAGCAGGCGGAGGCCACAATGTTTAATGAGAGTTCAGCATCATAATGTACATCTAAAGACACTTTGCTGAGGCTCATCTGGCCACATCGTCAGATACAATCAATTTGCTCATTTGAGAGGATGCCGATACATGTTTGTTACAATGCAAATGTTTTTTTGATGTAAATAAAATGTATGTAGTACCTGGTTTGTTGGTCTCTGGCAGGATTATTGCAGAACTGGGTCTAGTGGGCATCTTGAGGCTGTGCGCTTATGATCCACGTCCAGATGCTTTGAAATCCTTTCATTCATCCAAAGGTAAAAGTGTAAAGTCTTCGTCTTCCTCTTGACTTTTATACCCTAAGTGTAGATGAGGCAGGGGGGCTTGAGGTGTGTCTAAAGGAGGTGTTGAGGTCAGTGAAGCGGCTGCTCAGCAGGGGTCAAGTGGGTGTATGCACTTGACTTTGACATATGGATATAAGTGAGGCTAGTGGAGACATTTGACACCCAGGAAACTTAAGGAGTCTGTTAAGAAAAGCAAGAGGATAGCTCCGAACACAAGTGAAGGTAAGATTAAGAAACTGGCCCTGTCAGTGTTGTCAACACAAGCGGTACAGGCGGAAACAGAATCACATAAATGAAGACACCTCAGTTAAAACAGACAAAATATGTTAAAGTATGTCACAGATTTATGGCCAACACAGTCTTTCTGTTCTTAATTCCTATACCTATGCGACACCTTAGACTCGGCAGTAGAAACCAGCCAGATATTGTAAGCATTTTGGGCTCAGTCCAAAAACTGGGGGATCTGAGGGCATGCTCTCCAGGGAGAGAGCTATAGGCATTATTTTTCAAGCCATTTGAGACAATGGAATGTCTTAAAATCTGTACTTCATTTAGGGAAAACCTGACAGTTGCCAAAAAGAAAATCATCATGTAGAGCCAATGTCCTATTTTGTATCTAACCCAACAAATGCTGAGGACAATTTTGACACCTGTCACCTAAAAAGAGGTAAAATTGTCTGATAACATCGGTAAGGTGGGTGTAAACCACATTTTTTTTTTAATATACGATGCTGGAGAAGAGTCCACAGACTGAATAGGTGTGCTTAGATTGACCCTAAATAGCCCAGTCAGAATAGCTTCATGTAAACTCCGAAATTAAAAGAGACCGGCCTGATCAGGCCTGATTGGAAGGAATTTTAAATTGGTTTCAGAGGGGTGGTGTAAATCTTAGATAATCCATTCAACAGGAAAAATATTAGCATCCAATTACCATGTAATCTACCATGTAAGCTGGAATGAATATATTCTTTCCACACATTTGCGCTACATGGAGGTAACATTAGGCAGTGTCGCTGGTGCGTGTGTTGTGCACGACATACAACAGCTGTTTCTACGAGCCTCCCTCTGCTGATTATGACAAAGAATCGTTCAATTTGAAAAATTATTTAGTGCTCATTGGTGCTTCAAGCTGAATTGCCGCTGGACATAACAATAATCTCATTTAGGATAGAGAAGGACTGGCAAGTACTCATTGCCTTTATTGGTTAGATTAGTTAGGGTTAGGTTAATAATGATAAGGTAAGCCAATCAGAGGCAGAGTAAGGTAGAGTATTCGGCCAACACTTCACTATCCTAGGATTCACAAATTCACTAAATGGTAGCAGTTGCCTGTATATGAGGCCTTTAGGGAACTTTAGTAAATTAAAGCATCTACTGATGCATGTGAGATGTTTAGGGGACATCTGTAATTTGTAGTTGCAGAAAATAATGTGGACTAAACTGACTGTAATCACTACTAAATTGTATTAACAACTGGAAGTACTTGTTTAATCTATTGTTTGTGTATTGAATCAAATGAATTTTCTCAATAAAGTTTAAAAACATATTCAGTTATATTTCCAGCAGATTAGATGCCTTACAACACACAGGATCACTTTGTGCAGGTCAAAAACAGTTCTGATTTAATGCATGTAAACACACAACTTATCAGATCACTATATTTAGGGCATGTAAACAGTTAAGTTCGAATCTCTAATCAGAATTACTTCAATCAGATTAACCAAATATTATCCATTTAATCACAGCTATTGTTAAATTGGAAAAAAAGAATTACATCTGATTCTGAGCCATAATAGTCTGGGCTGCTCTAACTGCAAATCAAGGCCAACAGAAGAACATTTACTCAATAAGCCTATATTAGATTTCTTTATGGAATAGCATAGTGGGATAAAAAACATGGGCATAAATTATCATCCTAATGACACAAAGTGGAAGGTATTTTAAAAGCTATAAAGATATTCTGGGCTTCTGAGAAAATATTCAGTGCCAGAGCACCAGATGACCTCAACCCCTGCCCTGCTCTGCCTCTGGTGGAAAACTGTGTCACAGAGTCAAGAGTGTTGGTATTTGTTTACATCAACTTTGTGGGCAGTATATGCTTAGAGCCTACTTTAAGGAAACTAAAATGTGATCTTAAACACCACAGTATGTCAAACAAATACCTGTTTGCTTTATTATCAGAGTACTGACAATATAATATGTATGTACAACATTGTTTATAATATCACCAAGCCAAGACAAAATGTGTCTCACTCAATGTTTTATCATTGATTTAAACATTACAGTCTGTATACATTCATACCAAACGAGGTAACCCTGTACATTCTTAGCATACAATAACAATGGAGGAATAAAAATACATGTAAATATATCAGTATAAACCTTGAGTTGTCCTGTGGTTACAGAAAAGTCCAAAAGAGCATGAGGTCAAAGGTGATTGCACTTTGTATCCCTGAAATGTACAAACCTATGTACTGTACATTTGCCTCTGAGATACTATGAGGAATATATCTCATAGGCGCTAATGTTTTACTATGATGTTATGTGTGCAGGATTTATGCAAGCTTATGGAAGATATGTTGACATGACTGTCCAGATGTTGTTAAGTTATTTTGGGTTTAAAGCTGCCATAATTGTAGCTCTACAACTAAGCTTATAATCACTAACTTTTAGATATGATATTTAATGTTGATTTAGTCCGTTATTCCTCCTGCTTTATCATCCAACACTGTGACTGTGGCCCTAACCAGAACCCTGGTATCATTTTCTGCTCAAAGGGGCACCTGACCTGCTGCACAAGTCTGACCTCCTTTCCTCCTGTGCTCTCCTCTCCCTCCTTCACCTCCTCCACACCATAGAAATTGAGGATACCAGCAGGCTGGTCAAGGTATACACCAATTGTGGTGTACTTAGGTACATCTTTAATCTCCACATTGTCGCCTTTGTGCCAGGCTTGATAACTGGAACCACACCAGCCGAGGCCCCAGGACTCCTCGTTCTCTCCCAGGCCGCAGTACCCATCGGTGTTCCTTCTCCCTGCTCGTTCGTATGCGACCCCGACCACGACCCACCCGGTGAACTCCACCTCCCAGTAGCCTCGGAAGCCCAGGATGCCTTCTTTGCAGAGAACCTTTTGGAACGTGGATGGGAATGACAATGTAATTTAGGGGTAATCCAACATAACCTGTGATTTATTACAGCTGCCACTGAGAAGAATTTTAAGCAGCGTTGCTTTCTCCGACTTGCAATGCCAAAGCAGTTGGCTCAGGTATAAATAAACCTAGGGGACATCCCTCTGGATCATAATACTGTGCTTTACAATCACATCAAACTCCACCGCCTATGGCATGGTGACAACAATTTCATGGAACTCTTACCTCATTTTCAGCCCTGTCTCTTAGAAATCATGTTTATATAAAACAAATTTAAAACAGCAAATACATTTTGAGGGAAACTTAATGCAGAGTAAATTATGTTTTCTATGAAAATAATGAGGAAATATAACGTATGTGGCAAGTCGCAAAAACACCCTGGGTGCGTTGTTTGTTGACGTTCTGGGACACCGTGTCAAGTGCTGCCTGTTACATGCATTGTCTTCTCTCAAAATTCGCTTCAGTTTTCACAGGAAATGTACTGTTTGCATACAGTCTCTCTCAAAATAAAAGCACTATATCTGTACAACACCGCAAATTAACTTTCTTTTTCTTTCAACAACTCACGCATGTGGTTTGGTTTAGGCAACAAAAGGACATGGTTAGGTATAGGAAAAAAGAACAGGGTTTGGCTTTATAATCTTATGGGACACAAACACTGCTCTCCCGGGTGAAAGTCTGTGTTTGTTGGACCCATCCAAAACCCTTTCCGCCTGCCCCACCCAGACTTTCACTGCCTTAACTTTGGTTCTTGTCCTGCCGTGTTACCCCCTGAAGCTGCAGGGTGCCATTAAACTATATTAGCGACCGGCTGCATATCATGCACAGATGGCTTTATTCGTCAGTGTCTGACGCCCCAAGTCACTGCCCGTGCGCCGGATTTCGACGACTTCAGAGTCAGACTGGGTTGGAAAAAATGTTGTTACTGAAGATATCAGCAAAATATGGGGTGCCGTTTGTAAAATGGCTCACACTGAAATTAACAGCAACATTTTGGAACATTTAGTTTCAAACGTTTAAAAAAGTGGTGTAAATTTTTTAAAGTCACTTTTTACCACATTTACAGCAATATTTGAAATATTTTAAAATCAGATTTAACATTTATATTTAGATTTAACATCTAACATTTAACATTTAGATTTAGATTTAACATTTAATATTTAGATTTAACATTTAACATTTAGATTTAGATTTAACATTTAATATTTAGATATTGTGACATTATATCTAACATATTTCAAATATTGCTGTAAATGTGGTAAAAAGTGACCTTAAAAAATTCACACCACTTTTTTAAATGTTGTTTGAAGCTAAATGTGGCAAAATGTTGCTGCTAATCAATCAACCTTTTTATTTAGACTCCAGGTCCATTAAAAAAAGACAGACAAACATACAATATTTAAAAAAGACAGTCATACCAGTGTTTCCACATAGCAGACTGGTATCGTGCAGTACTGAGGACAGGGTTAGTCAACGTCATTATAATGGCATTACAAGAACTGTTAAGTCGACATATAAATTTGAATATCAATTGTCTCAAAAGAGCATGAAATGTGATAATTTGTACTTTACAAAAAAGTTTTCTTGCACTATACCATCTTGGTTTCCCAAGCAAAATTCACAGACAATCATTATACGCAACCTGAAGTTTGCGGATGCTGGCCTTTTTAAACTTAATCCACAAGGACGCAGTATAAAAAGGGGTGCAGTAAGCCCTGAAAAGACTCACTTTAACCTTCTCTGAACACCAGGATTTCAGTGTGAGCCACTTTACAAACGGCACCCCATAGCAAAATGTCCACTGAAAATGTTTTTCAGTTTTCTGCCAAACTAGGCAACCCTAAAATACAGTATC